TATGTACTCAACAAATGTTCACGATTGACTTCCACGGTGAAGGAATAACATCGTGTAATAAAAATGAAACCCGCAAAATTATAATTTGCGTAATTAGTTGTGGTAGGATCTGTTGTGAGTCCGCGCGGGTGGGTACCACCGCCTTGCCTATTTCTGTCGTGAAGCAGTAATGCGTTTCGGTTTGAAGGGTGGGGTAGCCGTTATAACTATACTGAGACCTTAGAACTTATACCTCAAGGCGGGTGGCACATCTACGTTGTGGAGGTCTATGGGCTCCAGTAACCACTTAACACCAGGTGGGCTGTGAGCTCGTCCACCCATCTAAGCAATAAATAAAATATTTTTGTATATTATAAGAGAGGAAAAAAGAGCAAGCGGGTCACCTGATGGTTAAGTGATTTCACAGCTACCCATAGACACAAGAAACAACAGGAGTGTTACTTGTGCGTTGTATAAGAACAGGGTTCATAGGAATGGGAGTAAGTAGGAACTTAAAGAAAGGGGAAATACCACCAGACACTCGCTAGTAAACGCAACATCACAGCATCTAAAACAATGCAACGTCACATCGGTCTATCTATCAAACGTCAACATTCGGCCTTAAGGAAAAGGAAAGTGCATCCGGAACTCTCACTTACCAGACGAAACATGGCGGCCACTAAGAAGCTAACCACTTCACGCTGATTTTCTGCGAGACGGTATGTGTTACAGTGAACTGTAGACGTGGATCTACTACCAATTTTTTATTTATTAATGTAGGTATATATATGTTAGGGCGGCCCGAAATAAACGATTATTTATTTTATATGTATATATATATATATATAAATTATTATCTTAAAATTATCTTGGCATTAACAATAAAAGATTTGATATGACTGATATCTTTCATTTTCTATATTATAATCTTATCTGAGTAAAGTGAAAAGTTTGAGAGCCTCTGGTTCAATCTTTCCCCGGCGAGGCAAGATTGAAATTATAAAAAACAAATAATTTATGTTGTCTGTGTTATTTGAAGGTATTTTGATATTATAGACAGTTCTGAAGTGTTTGGACAGTTAAAATTGTAGCCTACTTACTGACCGTCAATATCGTCTGACATTAATTCGAACAATTTTAGAAATTACTTCGATCTTTGACCACCACCCTTTCATCTTTCCCCCTGTTCTTTTCTCTCGATATTGTAATTTTTTTTTTATTTCATATAAATATAACAGGGATTTATCGATATGACATAAAAATATGCTCTTTGGACTTTATTCACTATAGATAATGATGAATATTTTTTAGTTTAAGTTAATAATATGTACTTTTCTACAAGACTTCAAACACATCATTGCTCATTTCATCAAAAAACCGTTCGATCTCCCACTCATCCTAATTAAATTCGTAACATCTTCCAAAAACCATACGCATCATACAATTGGAGAGACAGCGCAGTGAATATAAAAAAAACAATTGCTTTCTTTATGTATTCATATTATATGTAAAAATTACAAATTCAAATTCAAAATCATTTATTTCAACTTAGATGTCAGTTTAACACACTTGTTGAATGTTAAAATATAAATAACAATGCTAACTCTACAACCGGTTCCAAAAAAAGCTACAGTCCTGAGAAGAACCGGCGAAACAAACTGAGCGGGCTTTCTTTTTCTTTTGTTTTTTCTCAATTTATTTTTTTAAATAAGTAAATATATTTACAATAAACGAAAAAACAAGTTAAAAAATGCAATTAAAAATAATAATAATAATAAAGAAAAATGAAAAGGCCAGGAGCGAACGCCTCATTCCCACGTAGTGCCATCTAGTAAATAATCCTTAACTTTATAATATGCTTTGTTGCACAAACGTTCCTTGACAGTTTTTTTATATCTATGAACAGGTAGTAATTGAACGTTTTGTGGGATCTTGTTGAAAAGTTGTACACCCAGCCCCCTAAAAGGGTTGCTTATTTTCTTAATTCGAGCCGCCGGCAACGCAAGCCTATGTTTGTTCCTAGTGTTCACATTGTGCAAATCGCAGACTCTGGGGAATTCTTCAATGTTTTTACGCACGTACAATTAATNGACAGTTTTCTTATATCTATGAACAGGTAGTAATTGAACGTTTTGTGGGATCTTGTTGAAAAGTTGTACACCCAGCCCCCTAAAAGGGTTGCTTATTTTCTTAATTCGAGCCGCCGGCAACGCAAGCCTATGTTTGTTCCTAGTGTTCACATTGTGCAAATCGCAGACTCTGGGGAATTCTTCAATGTTTTTACGCACGTACAATTAATTTTCAAAAATGTATGGGACGCTAAAGATAGAATTTTGATTTCTTTTTAAGCCTGTCCCTCAAGGATTTCTTCGGGTGCATATTATAAATAGCACGAATAGCCCTCTTCTGCAGGATGAAAATCGTTTCGACATCGGCAGCATTGCCCCATAGCAAAATGCCATAGGACCAAAAAGCTTTTATCAGAATACAAATTAAAATCGCCTAAATGTGTGAACAAGCTCATGGCCCGTCTGGTGCTATGTGGTTACTCACTAAGTGAATGCCGCCACCAATCTTGAGACATAAGGTCAGATTTCCAAATGTACTATTTAATAGTTATCATCATTCAAATCGTAATACATGGCTGCTATGCGGCAAAAAAGGCTGGATGTACCATTTTGGTACCACCAAAAAATCCCAAGCAAGATCTGGTAAATACCCTAGTCTTTTACGATATCAACACGAACCTATCACAACAATCTTACGAATACGGAGAGCGAGCAATCAATTGCGAAAAGAAACAAAAATGAACTCACTGTACAGTGGTCCATAGCACAGTCACAGCCCTGGTGAATGACCTCGGATTTGGCACGGAGAGTGGGAAACTGACGGTGTTGGCATTGCTGGATTGCAGTAATGTATTTGGCACTGTTGATTTCTGCATACTTCTAGCCACCTTAGCTCCATTAGTATATCTTCGACCGCGGTTGATTGGTTTCGAAGTTACCTGTCTGGTCGCCGCAAGCGTATTCACTGTGAGAATGCTTATTATTCATATTGTGACGTGCGCGTAAGTGTATCGCAAGTTGGTGTTTTATCTCCTTTACTCTTTTCAATTTTTATAAATTCTACTTGTATACAACTTACTTCTTCCATCTGTACGCAGTTGATCTACAGATCTATACGCAAACTTCTTTGCCAGAATTTACCATCGCGATAAAGACGCTGAATAATGATTTATCGATATTGTCCCGTTGGAGTAATTCGCATGAATTTAGGTTTTTATTTTTTATTGCTTAGATGGGTGGACGAGCTCACAACCCACCTGGTGTTAAGTGATTACTGGAGCCCATAGACATCCACAACGTAAATGCGCCACCCACCTTGAGATATAAGTTCTAAGGTCTCAAGTATAGTTACAACGGCTGCCCTACCCTTCAAACCGATACGCATTACTGCTTCACGGCAGAAATAGGCAGAGTGGTGGTACCCACCCGCGCAGACTCACAAGAGGTCCTACCACTAGTAATTACGCAAATTATATATTTGTGAGTTTCATTTTTATTACACGATGTTATTCCTTCACCGTGGAAGTCAATCGTGAACATTTGTTGAGTACGTATTTCATTACAAAAATTGGTACCCGCCTGAGATTCGAGCACCGTTGCATCGCTCAACACGAATGCACCGGACGTTTTATCTGTTAGCCCATGACGACTTCAAAAAGTTGAACCCGTCGAAAACACAGGACATTGTTGTCAGTAATTCAAGAATGTGTTCGAAAATTAAATAGTCGCAGCTTCCGGTTATTTTATTTGACGGCGTACAAATTCCTATCAGTGATACTGTGAAAAATTTGGGAATCTCAATTCATAAAAACTTATTGTGGAACGCACAGATAAAAGGGGTTAGTCGGAAGGTGTTTCCATCAGCTGAATCTTTAAGACGGTTACGAAATTTTCTTCCAGCCGCCACTAAAGCTGCGCTTGCACAGTCTCTCCTTCTTCGAATTCTTGACTACCCCGATTCGTAATACTCGTGTCCTTTCTTTACCATATTGTATTCTTTGTACCCTCATACCTCAAAGAACGACCCATATCTCAAAGACCGTTTCGAGTTCCAAGGTATTTTATGTATTACTAGCTGTGCCCGCGACTCCGTCCGCGTGGAATAGCGACTTTGGGCAGCAGTTTTAGGACATATCTTTTGGTTTATAAGCACCGTCATTTAGGTATTTAGAAAAATGTAATTTAAAGTAAAGCTTCTCTATACACGACGTAGACGTATAGCCATCGGGGATCAAAGCATACAGGTTGCTAGGATTGCTAACATGTGACAGAGCTACATAACCGCGTGACCGAGTTGACTGTGTGAAAAGCAGTTAACACTTATATCTACACCCACAACTTTTAGCGTCTGACCTTGGGCTTTATTTATTATTATCACGAAGCATAGGCTCAATGGAAACGCGATCGGTATTGAGTTATGCTTCCCGTTCTTCTAATGTCTCCTGAGACCGGGCAAGCTTTTTCTGTCCGAACCCTCTGAGAGCTCAAACGGATTTCCCTATCAGTAAAGGTCTCAGACTCAAGCGATAGTGCATGAGTCTCGCAATCGACAGAGAGACGTGCTTCTCGTTCTTCAAGTGTCTCCTGAGACCAGGTAATTGCTGTCCGAGCCCACACTTGTAAGTGCTTGCTGACTGTTTTTTTAATATTAGATGTGTTTTGATATACAGAAATATGACTTTTTTTACGGTTTAAACAATATAGTATTCTTAGTTGAGAAGGCATACTTGTTGTTTTTATATGAACCTATTGTAATTTAGTTTTGATTTAAATGTGCATGTGAATTCATGGATTATTGTTATCCCTTAAATAAATGAATTCATTGATTAATTGATTATATTAGTACATTCAAATAAAATGCATACAAAAAATCCGAAATCTGTTTTCTAAAAAAAAGTAATTAAAAACAATAACTTAAATGCTCTCATTTATTAACGAAAAAAAAAACATAGATGTATCCAGGACGAAGTAAGAAACAAGGGTTATTTTATATTAAAAATTAGCAATTCACACAAGGCAGTGCTCTGAATTTAACAACTAGTTGTCTTCTAGGAATTCCACAGTTTTTGCGGAAGTTACGACGAGAATAGTCGTAACTGCGAGATGAAGCAGATGACACAGAGGAAGCTGCACTTCCTGCACCTTGTCCGTATCCCCTGCCAGCTCCGTAACTGACGCTACCACCAGCACCGGCACCTGAACCAGCACCAGCACCTGAACCAGCACCGGCACCTGAACCAGCACCAGCACCTGAACCAGCACCAGCACCAGCACCAGAGGCAGCACCGCTTCCAGTTTCAAAGTCAGATTTTGACGACCAAGCGTATTCGTAGCCTTCACGTCTGCTATATCCGCCATTTGCTACATATGGTCCAAATCCAGAAGAGCCTGTTCCTGCACCAGCTCCAGCACCAGCACCAGAGGCAGCTCCACTTCCTGCTCCTGCTCCGTATCCAGCACCAGCTCCTGAACCAGCACCAGCTCCTGAACCAGCACCAGCACCGGCACCAGCACCAGCACCAGCACCTGAACCAGCACCGGCACCAGAGGCAGCTCCGCTTCCAGCTCCTGCTCCGCTTCCAGCTCCTGCTCCGTATCCAGCACCAGCTCCTGAACCAGCACCAGCACCTGAACCAGCACCAGCACCTGAACCAGCACCAGCACCTGAACCAGCACCGGCACCAGAGGCAGCTCCGCTTCCTGCTCCTGCTCCGTATCCAGCACCAGCTCCTGCTCCATATCCTGCTCCGTATCCAGCACCAACTCCTGCTCCGTATCCAGCTCCAGCTCCTGAACCAGCACCAGCACCTGAACCAGCACCAGCACCTGAGCCAGCACCAGCACCTGAACCAGCACCAGCACCTGAACCAGCACCAGCACCTGAACCAGCACCAGCACCTGAACCAGCACCAGCACCTGAACCAGCACCAGCACCTGAACCAGCACCAGCACCTGAACCAGCACCGGCACCTGAACCAGCACCGGCACCTGAACCAGCACCAGCACCAGAGGCAGCTCCGCTTCCTGCTCCTGCTCCGTATCCAGCACCAGCTCCTGCTCCATATCCTGCTCCGTATCCAGCACCAACTCCTGCTCCGTATCCAGCTCCAGCTCCTGAACCAGCACCAGCACCTGAACCAGCTCCAGCACCTGAGCCAGCACCAGCACCTGAACCAGCACCAGCACCTGAACCAGCACCAGCACCTGAACCGGCACCGGCACCTGAACCAGCACCGGCACCTGAACCAGCACCGGCACCTGAACCAGCACCGGCACCTGAACCAGCACCAGAGGCAGCTCCGCTTCCAGCTCCTGCTCCGTATCCTGCTCCGTATCCAGCACCAGCTCCTACTCCATATCCTGCTCCGTATCCAGCACCAGCTCCTGCTCCGTATCCAGCACCAGCTCCTGCTCCGGCTCCTGCTCCGGCTCCTGCTCCGTATCCAGCGCCAGTTCCATAACCTGCACCAGCACCGGCTCCAGCCCCAGCACCGGCACCAGCACCAGCACCAGAGGCACCTCCGTAACCAGCTCCGGCACCAGCTCCATAACCTGCTCCAGTACCAGAGGCAGCTCCATAACCAGCTCCGGCACCGGCACCTGCACCAGCTCCGTAACCTGCACCAGCACCGGTACCAGCACCGGCACCTGCCCCAGAACCAGCGGCAGAACCTGCTCCTGCACCTGCACCAGCTCCAGAAGCAGCTCCGCTTCCTACTCCTTGTCCGTACCCAGCGCCAGCACCAGCACCAGAGGCAGCTCCATAACCAGCTCCGGCACCTGCACCTGCACCAGCTCCATAACCAGCTCCGGCACCTGCACCTGCACCAGCCCCATAACCAGCTCCGGCACCTGCACCTGCACCAGCTCCATAACCAGCTCCGGCACCTGCACCTGCACCAGTTCCATAACCAGCTCCGGCACCAGCCCCAGCACCGGCACCAGCACCAGAAGCAGCTCCATAACCCGCTCCGGCACCCGCACCAGAACCAGCGGCAGCACCTGCACCAGCTCCTGCACCGACTGCAGCACTAGTGCTGAAATCGCTCGTATATACTTGATGAGTGCTGTATCCACTGTTTGATACGTATGGCCCGCTCTGAGAATATGCTCCCGCATCAGCAGCAACATAACTTTGAGCAACAGTACCATCGGAAAGTGTCTTCATGAGCACATCTTTCTCTACAATGGTCTCGTTACCTTCGGAATCCGTGGTTATAACGAACGTCTTGATCATTTTTTCATTTTTTCCAAGTATTCCATGGTTTTTATTTTTCCGTTGCATTTTTTTAGTTGTAATTTGTTCTTCGATAACTGCCCCAGATGCATCTCTAATTATTTCATCTGTTGTATTACTACTTTGGACAGTGACATCACTCCCAAAATAGTCCTCATCAAAATCATTGATGTTTGCATTTGTATAAGCGACATACTGAAACAAAATGTTAACAATTTTTTCTTAAATCAATACGATAAGTGCTAAAATATTGAGCTATAAATTTCGCACATTCAATCGAAGTTAGCGCTGATCTGGAACGAGTTAGGACATACTGCCTTAGTAGTGGTAATAGTAATAATTGAATGTTCTAGCTGGGGCGTTAGGCAAGTTGAACAACATTCTAATTATGTAAACATTTGTGGGAAAGTACATAATTGTATCTCATACACCACGAGATTTTATGGTCACATTATGTTGTTATTACTTGAGCTTGTTTCGAGCTTTGTTTTCCCTACCTATTAGCTGGTAGCCTATTCCAGCTACGCTCCGATGGGTAGGTGAGCTCTCAGACTCAACCTGAAAGAATTTGCTAACACTAGCCCTAACAAGAGCAGTGCTTCATAGAATCTATCACGTGATCGGTAACGCGACCCACTGAGAAGATCTGGCGAGAAACTCAGTGGGCAGCTCGTGTTAATCACATACCAATGTATTAAAATGTAACAGAATGCTACCTCGAGGTTATGAAAATGATTATAATTTGCGAAAAAAAGGCAATAGCAATTGTTAATAGATATCATAATAAATTGATAATGCGGTTATAATTTTATGCAATTTCTTTCGTCTATTTTCTAATGATGCTTTACGAATTGTTTTACATATTGTTGAATATGCATTGCATATTGCAATGCTGATTTACCGGTGAAATAGGATATTGCAAGTCTGCCCAGGTATTTACATAGATTCATCTTGCCTACTTTTGACGCAAATAAATCACAAGTTACATAATCTAAGGTTCATTTTTTAAATAAATAAATGTAGTTTATTCCGTAGCCCCCCCGGGCGTGACAAATCAAATGGCACAATTTACGATATCTGTGCGTTTTGGCGACCACTTATTATCAGGTGGCCCGTGATATCGTCTGGCCACCTTCTGAAATAATAGTAAAATAATTAACTCACCTGCAGAGCGCAGCACAAGATCACAAAGGTTTTGACTCTCATCTTGAGAGTTGGAACCGAACTGATGCTGATTTGAAAAAGTTGAACCTTTTTATACTGAAAATTTTCGAGTTTTGACGTATTTACTTTCGATAGAATAAACATCTACACATTGTATTGTACAGATACAATTACATAGAAATTAATCTTTTTATTTAACATAACAATACAACGTATGAAGTAAATTAAATTGTGATCATGAACAATGTGATTAATTATGATTTAATTGATCTTATTGTTCTTACTTTTAATATTTTAAAGAATTTTATAATATCGTTCAATTTTTTTGTAATATTTAAAGAACTTACTTCATGCTTTCTCCCATTACAGGAACGGGACAGCGGAAACTGTTTCTTTTTAGTTTCATTTTAGTTTTTGTTTGCCAATCGGCGTGATGCCACAACCATCCTGGAGAATGCCTTGGATGGGTAAATCACCAAAAAAACATTTGTAAATCAAAAATACAAAGCCAAATCTGTCCAGACATTCTCAAGTCAATGAAGAGGTTTTATTATTGTCAATACAGTGGAACTGTTATACAATGTGTCCAGTAATTAGCACGACATACTGCAGGAGGTGATAGCTTGGGTCAATACCTACCAAAACAACATAATATATGTTTAGCAAAATTTTACGGATTTACAGTTTTACAAAATTTTCCGAAATATCGAAAAATCTCTACCTTGAAACAGATTTTTAAGCATCTCGTAATGAAAAATTCCTTTTCTAGTATTTTTTTTTTACATGAAATTATTCATGAATTGTTACTTTACTCATTGATAAGTGTTTTTACGAAAAAATATTTTTGTTTGAATTTTCACAGAACGATTTTGTTTTCGCGTAACTACAACCTACAGTGGAGAAAAAAATGCGTGTGGCAGTTTTGTACAACAAGCTTAAACACTACCTAATTAATGGTGATTTTGGAAAGGTATAACACTAGAGCATTTTTCATTAAAAAAATTACGAAAAAAATGCTATTTTAGTTCTAAAGAAGCTGATTTTGTCAAAAACCACTACGAGATTAAGTAATAGCTGCTCATTTAAGCGAATTATTATAAAAACAAGTTGTGATAAGTAAAATGCGACAAAATCGTTAAGCTTTCCACATTTTTCCTGATCACGCAGGAGCTAGTCACCGTCGACGCTCTAGACACGTCCTTACGGATCCATCAGATCCAATAATCTTTGCATTAGACGACTTCACCTCTAACACTAGGACCAGGCTACTAAGCCTGAGTTAGCCTAGTGTTAGAGCTGAAGTCGTTTAGGTCACTAGACCCCGGTAACATAAATCTGTGTATATAAAAATGAATTGCTGTTCGTTAGTCTCGCTAAAACTCGAAAATGCTAGACCGATTTGGCTAATTTTGGTCTTAAATTATTTGTGGAAGTCCAGAGAAGGTTTAAAAGGTAAAAAAATAAAAAAGATGTTTTTCCTTTGATGTGTCCCCCGTCGGACGGATTCCTTTTGTTTGTTTTATGTTTATTTTATACAAGAGCATAGGTATTTTATTTATCGATTGAGGCACTACGAAGTCTGCCGGGTCAGCTAGTATAAGATAAAAAAATGTTAAAGAATTTGTATGGTTTATTGGTCGAATTTATTGAGGACCGAACCCTAAAACATTGTTACGTTACTTGCAATTAAGCACTTATTCAAACTTTCCGTACAAAACATCTTTCGAATTAGAACGTTTTGTTCGTTTTGTTTGCGAAAAAAAGACAAAAGACGAAGAACGGATAATGAAAAGTTATTGATATAGTTTCAAAAACAAACTTCGACGAGAATCTGTCTTCATTGTGATTGAAAGTCGGTTTAAAAAAATTAATGCAATTTATATTAAGATATTTTTTTTATTGCCCTTGTAGGCAGACGAGCATATGGCCCACCTAATGGTGGGTGGTTACCGTCGCCCAGCAATGCCAGAGGGTGTAGTGGTAAGTGACATGGTCACTACACAAGGAGGTCGCGGGTTCGAATCCCGCCAAGGGAAGATATTTGTATGATAAATATAAATGTATTTTCCAGGGTTATGAATGTATATGAAATATATGTATGTGTATAATAAAAATCTTACATTTATATCCGTTATCTGGTACCTGTAACACAAGTTCTTTACGAACTTATCACGGGACCAGTTAACGTAGCGTGATTGTTAGTAAATATTTATTATTTATTTATTATTATTTATTATATTTCTATTTTTCATTTGCATTTTATATTATGTTCTAACTGCAGGAAAGAATGATAAACGAAAAAATGTATCATCAAGACAACTTACAGAATTAAATATCGATTTATCTTTCAGCTCTTCTAAATCTAATAAATAAAATTCTCGTGTGACGGGGTGCGTGATTGAACTCCTCCGAAACGGCTCGACCGATTTTCGTGAATCTTAGCGTGCATATTGGCCAGGGTTGAGAATCGAACAACATCTATTTTTCATCCCCCTAAATGTTAAGGGTGGTCCACCTCTAAATTTTTATTTTTATTTTTTAGACAAAAATTTTTGTTTTTATTTTTTTATGATACAGCATACAAAAATACATACAACCCTAAATTTTCACCCCTCTGCGATCAACCCTTATTTTTTATTTGCTAATTAAAATTTTAAATTTTTTGCAAGAATTTTGTTTTTATTATGTCATGACTTAGAATAAAAAAAATCATATTACTCTGAAATTTTCCCCCCTCTACGATCAACCCCTATTTTTTATTTGTTAAACTTAATTTAATAATAAACTTAAATTTTTTTGGCAAGATCTTATTTTTATTTTGTCATCACTTAAAATAAAAAAATTCCATATTACTCTCAATTTTCACTCTTCTACGATCAACCCCTATTTTACCATCCCGATTTTTTTTTAATTCTATTCACAGATCCGCAATAAGGTTGCAAGATGGCAATCAAATATTATAATTAATTGTAGTACGATAAATTATTATTCAGAGTTTATAGTTTCAAGTTCCTTTAATTATGATTTTTTTTAAATTCAATTTGATCTCCCGCCCTCGCCGGTCCACTACTGATCAACTATCTATTTATTTATTTTTATTGCTTACATGGGTGGACGAGCTCACAGCCCGCCTGGTGTTAAGTGGTTACTGGAGCCCATAGACATCTACTACGTAATTTTTTTTTTTTTTTGATTTTGTAGGCAGACAGCCATACGGCCCACCTGATGGTGAGTGGTTACCGTCGCCTATGGACTTCAGCAATGCCAGGGGCAGAGCCAAGCCGCTGCCTACCGTAAAAAAATGCGCCACCCACATTGAGATATAAGTTCTAAGGTCTCAAGTATAGTTACAACGGCTGTCCCGCCCTTCAAACCGAAACCCATTACTGCTTCACGGCAGAAATAGTCAGGATGGTGGTACCTACCCGCGCAGACTCACAAGAGGTCCTACCACCAGTAATTACGCAAATTATAATTTTGCGGGTTTGATTTTTATGACGGTTTTTATGACGGATGAGGACGAAGCCGGTCTCCTGTCTTAATTACTCATATACATCATAGATTATACACTTAATAATACAATACCTACTATACATTTTTCAGCCATGTTTTTTTGATTTTATTTGTGTATCAATAGTATGTTCAGTAGGTCTGAGAATCGGCTACTATCTATTTTCCATACCCCTATGTGATAAGGGTTGTCCACCCCAAACATTTCTTTTTTATTTTTTGGATATAATTTTTTTTGGTTATAATGAGGTATTATGTGGTTGAATGAGGTTATTTTTCTACACTAGAATTTCCCTAGAAATCTTATTTAAGGCAACACAACGTTTGCCGGGTCAGCTAGTAAATATATATAATAACATAATTACATTGTAGGCTATCTGAAAAGCTATTTTTGTGTGCCGTGTGCCGAATCTTCCACGAGATCTACTCGTCTAGGGAACGCGAGGTATTAGGCTCTTGCCTCAATCATTAAGGTCGAGTATCTTCGCCTTCAGATCACAAGGTGGCGTCGAAAAAGATGGTGCGGTATCGCCCTGCCACGACAGTACGCTGCAGAAGACAAGCCATCGCAACGGTGTTAAGGGCAGGACTTTTTTTTTTATTTCTTACCTAGCTGAGAGCCTTGAGAGGCTATTTCAGCGTAACCTTAACTAGTAGGTGAGCTCACGGGGCTCAAACCTAGCAACGACGTTGCTAACACGAACCCTAGCAAGAGCCGTGCTTCGCAGAATCTACCACCGGATCGGAAACGCGACCCACTGAGAAGATCCGGTGAGAAACTCAGTGGGCTGTGTGTATGGGTTAATTTACTCGTCGAGCTCTTCGTCGCAAGCGACGGGTTCGACGGGGACGGTGATCGGTGCTTGTGGTACCTAAAAGCACCGTTAATGGATCGGGAGGATCCGAAATGACGTGTTTGGGGCGACGTCGACTGCTTGCCATTCTGTCCGCAGGATCGGGAATGGGCGGGCAGGACGCGTCAAAATCGCCCTTATCCAGGTCCCATATTTTCGATACAATAAAGAGTAACCCTGTAGTTTGGGCGTAAAAGCTTACGTCTGTAACTGCTGTTCTGGACTAATGAGAGACAATAAGCCTATGGAGTAACGACGAAGTAGATTTTTGTCAATATCAAAGCTTTAGTGCTCTTGTTTTCTTCTCAACTAATAGTTTCTCTATGTCCATCACTCATGATTGATTCGTGGCAGAAATAGGCTAGATGGTGGCCCGACAGTATGGTTAAGTGAGATTACAATGTGCCCTATTACCAGTAAATAGCAGTTAACGATGACTGTATGCTGGTATGACACTCTGAGGATTTTGGTTCCCTAAGTCGCCCTTTAACGACACCCACGGAAAGAGATGTTGTGACCGTAGGCTATTTTACTTAGTTTTCTAATATAAAAAAGGCTGTTTGTATATTTAGTGTAGTCTATTTCAGTATTGTGCCAAAAACACGCATCGGTTTCAATCGAATTCCGACAACGCCACGCCGAGATTCAAATCCCTGAAGCAGATACCATTTTATTTTC